AAATCATCTCACATTATATTCTGTTATCAAGTTAATAGCTACAATTATAAGTTGGGATGCAGAGATTGACAATGGCATCTAACAACTTTCAGATGTTAGTGAGAATTTCTTGATCGTTCAAAATTGAAAATGAGTAGAAAATATTTATTGAGATCATCATGACAAAAATTTAGAACATAGGATTACTACTTGCTGGATCTCAACGGTAGCAACTTATATATTTAATAGATGTTGTTTGGAAACAAAGCTGGTTCTAGTTACAGACGCATCATACTTCGTGTTAACTAATCCACCTAAAGCCCATGCAGACTTTTATGTTTCCTGAAACAAAAAAAAGAAGCAGAGCCTTCACAGTTGCTGGCTAAGACGCTCTTCTAGTAGACTATTTTCAACTACGAAGCTTGTAAATAAGTCCACTTGCTACCAAAATCATTCATGTTCATGATTATTCTACCGTTCTCCAGTAGGAGAAGTTTAACTTCATGATACGGTGCAAGACTAGGACATGGTCTTTGTTTCATTCAACATTAATCTTAACTTGTAACCAAAATATTATCACTACCCTGTATCTCAAAAGTCCTTTTTCTTTTCCAAAATTGTTTTCATCTATTTTCACTGTTCGATTCAACTAAATGATTGATCCATATATCAAGTTTTTATTTATAGATGCAAAATTCACAAGCAACATGCAGAGCTATCACGTCGAAGTGAGGCAAAAAAAAACAGGCTTTTTCTATATGTTAAAAAGCATTTAACAACAGTTCGTTTTTAATTATATCGATTTCTCGAATCAATTTGATCTTTAAATTGTCGAGATCTTTAATAGTCATTTCATAGGTGTTTATTTTGATATATTTTCATTAAAATGTTCAACGGTATTAAGTCCAGTGAAAGTAAAGCTCATGAGATCCGTCCATCCCTTCTAAAATACTCAGCATCCAATTTACCTTCCAACCAGATGTATGGTGTCTTCGAGCAATGTACTAATGCTTCATGTGACTAAGAAGTTGACAAAAAATACATTTGTATAGGAAGTCTATGAAATATCCATGCATATGACGTTAACAGTGAGCTATTGATAAACTGTTTATTATTAAGCCGGTTTGAAACTAATATATAATATCAAGCATCGTTATGAAGACTTGTGAATATTCTAATATTCTATGTATAAATTTTGTAATTGCAGGTACTTTGCCCAGTATAAACGCTCGAGAATTGAGTGTTTCAAATTCTAGTGAAATATATATAATAACTAATTTTAATTTTACAGGTATTCATTTCTTATAATTTTTTTTTAATCTTATATCTTTCTTTCGCAAAAAGATACTACGACTGAGACTGTTATATCTACCACGCAAACAAGTCAAATTACAAGTACTAGTTCAACTCTAAGTACTACGCCAAGTTTATTTACCAATGGAACATATATTATAACAGGCTCCAATTCTAGTATTTATATCTTATGATTTCTTTAATCTCATGTTTTTCTTTCCTACTAAGATACTACGACTACAACTTCTATATCTACTGTTTCAACAAGCCAAATTACAAGTGTCAGTTTAACTCCAAGTATTACCACAGTTGTGGTTAATAATGGAACATATATTATAACCGGCTCTTATCCTAGTATTTATTTCTTCTAAATTTTATCCATTTTTCAATTTGTCTTTCTTTTGAAAGTAATGATCACTACAACTATTCAAACTACAATCTCAATAACAACTGATAGTATTACACAATCCACTCCTATTCCAGTTTCTAACTTTTGTGATAATGCAACTCACATTAAATGGATTAATGGTACTTGTGTTACAAGAGAGTTTGCACAAGTAAGATAAATTATTCTTTCATTTATATTGTATTATTATTATGACTTATGTTTTCCATTGCAGACATCAGCCATTCTTATAATCTTCAGTAATTCTTCTAATGATACTGAAAAAGCTGATGCTCTTGCAATATATGTAACTTCAATTACTAACTCGAATGCAACATCAAACTCTAATAATACTTTAACAATCAAGCAAATTAATGAAATAGTTGGTAATTTAAGCAGTGATAATTATAGAGTAAATTCTAATGATACAATTCTTATTATGACAAAACCAAATCGAGAACCTAGCAAAGAAACAATAATAGGAGTTTCATTTGAAGATGGTTTTGGTGGTACAGTTGTTGATACCAGCAATAGAAATAATGTAATAAATTCAAATTTATCAGCTGCTGGTATTGTTACTGTTCAGTCATTAAATGAGGCTAAATCTTTCAATATGTTTATAATAAATGATCCAACTCCGTTTCAAGATGTAGATAATACAAGTAATAGAACACTTTCATCATCAGTTGTTTTTGCTACAATACAAGGAGCCGATATGAATCGAAGAAATATAACAATTGATTTGTTTTTTCAAGTTTTAAAACCACCTAAACCAACTGAAGATGTAACATATTTTTGTTCATTTTATGATACAAATACTTTACAATGGAATGAATTCGGCTGTACTGCACCAATATATAACACAAAATTTGATCGATATGAATGTCGGTGTTATCACTTAACATCTTTTGCTCTTGTTTGGTTACCGAAATCTTCAAAAACATCACAACGTACTTCACGAGCAGAATTAAATGATCAAGATAACGCATCAATTGCATTTCAAGTTATTTCAATTAGTTGTTTCATAGCAGTTGTTATTCATGGCATTGCTATTCATTTTATTAATCCACAGAAATTTATTAAACTAAGATTATTAATTCCATTAATATCGTGTGTAGTTACAATGATACTTTTTATTTTTTATATTGCACTTGGTTTAACAGTTTATTCCAGATTTTCACAATTGAATACTACTTCTTCTAGTGGAAATCTTCCTAATCGAGGACGAAGTTTTAATGAAAATTCTAATGAAATAAATTTATTGGAAACTAAATTAAATTCACAAACTGATTCTTCATCAGGAAATTCATCTCTATCTCATATTCCATGTTTACCAAATGAACATGCTTTAATGTTCATTGTTTTTTTCTTTATTATTTTTATGTTTGGTGTAAAAACTAGTTTTGGTTATTACAATTATCGTCATTATGTTCAATTTTATCCTCCACCATCACTTCGAAATCTTTCTATTACTATTGGTATTTCTTTTCTTACTGGTATAATATATATGGCTATTGCAGCTGGAATTAATTCTAATCCATCGAATGAATTTTCTGAAATATATTTAGGTAAAATTTGTTGGTTTAATCGCAGTGTTATTCATTATTTTTTAACTATACCAATATGTTTATTTCTTGCAACAAGTATATTTCTGATTATTTGGGTCGCTAAACGTATGATTACTCATGCTAACGAAACTGTATCAGATATTGTTAGACACAATCGAAGAAAACAATGTTTAATCGTTGTATTAATATCTTGTGTTACTCAAGGTCTTGGTTGGCTTTTTGGTCCATTGATGTTAATTGCTGATCCGAAATCTGGTGAAGTATTAGGATGGCTTTTTGTTATCTTTAATGGATTGGAAGGCGTTTGGATTATAATTTTGTATATTATTGCTCGAAAAGAACATTTAGATGAAACTCTGCGTGGCAAATACACAAAAGACATACAACTCAAAGAGATTCCAGCACGAGAGCCTAAGCCAGATGATCCGAATACTGACAGAAGACCTCCAGAATTGAAAGATTTAAGAAGTGATACACCACGTCATTCATTTGCTGATCTAGCACAAATAAATATGATTAATTATGGCTATCCTGACGATAACAGTGATTAATAAGTGTAAATAAGTTTTTTTTTCTCAAATAAAATGGATTTCTTTCATTCTTCTTATGTTTTAAATTCCATCATAAAATTCTCTGATTCTGTTGATTCTAAAGGGTTCTATGACTAGTATTGCAAGAAACTAATATTCGCAATGAAAAAAGACAAATAAAACAATAAGATATCCCTTCAGTAGAAGACTTTCAAAATATTTTAAAAAAACATAGAGATTCAGTTTTTTCATCTTATGGTAGGAAGAGTAGCCGAGAAGAGTACTGCTATTCCATTGATGCCGTGTATTGTTGATAACACGACGTCATCTGTTAGCGTCCATCTAAAACAAGAGGCATGCTAGTGTTCTGACTACACTGCTATATATAAAAAATTTATAGTTAACTTTTCAAAATATATGTACCGTTCTAATTGTTTTTGAGATTAAATTAAATAAAGAAAAAAAAAAGAATAAATCATTTCTAAAAATAATACATACCATTGAAATTATAATTGACATTAATATCAATAAATAAAAACTAGAACTCAATCCTTTCAATTGATACTTGCTGATGGAGTTGCAATTAAGATTGATCTAAATAAACAAAATATAATCTTTATTTTAATCGCTTAGCTTAAAACTCAAATCGTCTTCTATTTACTCTTTAATTCTTATTTTGTCTTTGTAATAGCTTGATGTTTTTACAGCCACGAATTTCGCTATGTCTATCATTTATGAATAGATATTATTCAGATTATATTTAAAATGTTTATGCACTTTGTGAAATAAGATCACGAGAAAAATTACTTTCTCGAGGGATTTCTCAGAAAATCATCAGTGAGTCCGTGAGAAGTTCTTATATTTTAATGATTCACTACCCAAACAGACAAACTTTTGGAAAAACGCATTTAAACGCACAAAAAAGGCAAAAAATGGTTTTTTGGCCCACAGTCGGGAACCGTGAGTGTCAGTCAAAAACGATCACGTTTTGCTGATTTTAGGCAAAGTTTTGTGCTTTTAAACGCGTTTTTCAAAAAGTTTGTCTGCTTCGGTAGTGATTATTTTTGTGACTTATTGAAGACTCACCAGGGGTTTTCACAATTGTTAGGGTACTCACCGATGATTCTGCAACGGAGAGTCGATTAGGGAAGAGCCGCCGAGAGTAATTACGCCCCATGTGGTATAATAGCTTATACTCTGTTTGTTGATATTTGTCTCTTGTACTTTAAAACATGTTATTTGACATTAAAAAATTCATACTCGACGATGTTTCTGAGTAGAAAACCATGTCTAGATATTTCGATAATTACTTGTGCATTGTAGGTTAATGAAAATTTCATGAAAAAGCCAACATTTTCTAAAAATCATTTATTTTTCTTTTGCATAAATCGTATAACTGGATTAATCAACTTTGAATTTAATAGATCTATAAACTCTATTTACAACAAAGAGACTTATTTGAAGATCAAATTTTTGTTTCCTCTTCTGTCAAAGAAAATACGAAGCAAAACTCACATTTTTTTTCATATTATTAACAGTCATGAAACCGTACCCGATTTTTGTCTTTCAAGTTTTTTTTATATAATTATGTAAAACATAATAGATGTAGTACACGAAGGACTACTTGACTGACTCAGATCTGTTGTCAATACTTATAATTATTTTTTTTACAATGATTACTCATATACTATTTGTATGACAAGAAAAAAAAATGAAACGAGACTCAATCGGACACAATTCTTTATAAGTATGCAACGAAAAGAAAATATCACACGAACAAAGTTGATTATTGGTCTGAATGTAATGTATATATTCTTGTTGAAACATGCATTCTTGAATCTTTTCGACTGACTACTTTTGAAAAAAAAAAAAAGTAAAAAAGATGAGATTAAATAAAAAAAAATACAACCAAGGTGATTCTTTCTATGTTCATTCAAAAGTTGATTTTTTTACTGCTAGAAGAAACATAAATACATAAGTTTACTTTTCTTTCCTCTTAAGCTTTTTTTTTCACTATAGTGTGCACTCGAATTCGTCTACGAAATGTTAATGCATGCAAGTTATTTGCTCATTTTGACAGTGACATGATATTTTACATTCGTTACTCATATTTTCAGTATGTAGGAGAAAAGCCATATTGAAGAAAAAAAATTACGTAAGAATATTCTTTCAATAGAAAATATATATCATATTTATAACATTGATTATTCTCATTATTTTTAATTTTATATTAAAAATAAAACCATACTTCTGGTTTTAATGATGACGAATATTATTAAACTGTTTATTCATTTATTTATCTTCACTATTTATATAATGAATATACATTCGTATGATAACTTCACATTTTCATATGGTGATAATGATATGAATGAAATTCTACCTGAAAAATTAATTGAAAGAATAAATAGGAGAGTTAGACAAGTTGGTATAGCTGATACAACAATAAATAATGATGGACTGGGAAACGAAACAACGACATGTGAGAATATATGAAATATTGAGTTATTTTCACAGAATGTTTTCTTTTCTTTATATTCTAGTTAAACCATCAACATATTCCAATACTATTTCAGTGACAACGGAATCAACAATTTCTACAATGGAGACGACTACTCAATCGACTATTGGTATATTAAATTTGTTTTTCTGTTAATATGAAACATGAGTGTTATCAAGAAATTCTTTTCCATGTGGGTGTTTGTCAACGAAATACTTTAGTGTAAATTATAGATTATGATTAGTTGATTAATTTTATTTGAGAAACAAAGAGAGTAATGAAAGATTTAGATTTATTCAGTTTGGTATGAATATTACATTAAAATTAATATTTACGAGTAGAGAGCAGCAATTTCCTTCAGAACTCCGCTTGTTCGAATCTTCGAGTCTAAAGTTTTACTATTTTTCTAGTGCAGATTACTGTGCAGATTAAGTATTAGAAAGTGAAAACTGCAAACCTATTGAGAATAGATTGATGGTAGGATAAAACCACAAGAAATAACTTGATATTGATTTTACCCGGGAGTAGCGAATAAATTGCTGACATCTTGATCAATGACTCAATCATGCACACAGAAAATACTAGATATGTCTAACATAGAACTTAGGTTCGGATTCGATCCGATTTGCTGGTCGACCCCCATGTAAAAAAAATGACCTCAGTAATCACAAAAAATCTGATTTTTAATCGATTATAATCATACGATTCTTAATCAATGGTTTACAC